TACAATCGGGTATATTCCTTTTTTGAGTGATTCATTTTATCATTGGTTGTTTATTTCATATTCAACAAGATAGGTTCACACATATACACGCACTAAATAAGCTCTTCATAATAAGCTTCTTGTCTTTTAAAACACACGGGGAAATTTGTCACCGATCGATATTGCTCATTCAATCTCATTTGTAGGTCATTGTAAACCTCCTTCATATCGTTAGTAACATGCATCTTCCCTAAATACTTTCTGCGAAACCCAGAACTATGATTATTGATCACAAGTATGATTTACTCGGGATGTGGAAAGTCCATTGCGAAGGCATGATTCAATATGTAAAACTGAAAACCAGCTTGACGAAGATGCTCAAAATATTGCACTTTGTTATATCCATAGTTCACAAATCTTTCCTCAAATAGAGGAAGTGTGGGAGAGTATTTTACCATCAGATATCTAGAGAAAGTCACAGAAACAACTCATATTTACGGTTCCATGAAATTGGTGATAAAACAGCGAACTCGAGATACATGCGATTCTTTTGACGTTGTAAACCATTCAGGCATTACATACATCTATGCTAGAGAGTACATTCAATTTCAACATGAGTTCGAATGTTGTTCTTATTTGATATGCAAATCTTCCGATTGATACATTCAATCAGTTCCAATTTGTTTTCTGGTTGAATCCAATTCGATCTATTCACAAACCATTGAACATTGCATACAAGTAAGAGCAACTTTCGGTTGTAGAACAGTGAGCCAAGATTTGTTTGCCTTTATACAAAAACACGGGGAGAATAACAGCAGAGCGATTGCTATGATAGAGGAATTGTGGAAGACTCATGACTTCCTTATAAGTATTTACTATTGATAATGAGAAAAGAAGATGACAAATACAAGATAATCGAAGATCCATATCAAGAATCAAGAAATGAGTGGTTCGAATGTTTCGTATAGCAAGATTTCGTAAGCGATTAATAGGAAACACAGTACTGGATTTGAGATAACGACTGACTAGATAAAAAAGAATTGTAACACGTTTGGGAATGAAGTGAGTTGAAATGTAACGCACAAGGTGAACTTCCTGGGTCGATGTGGCATAAATCACAAGAACAATCGGTCTACAATGAACATGAAAATCGATCATATTTACCCTTGATATCGATACATGAATTGACGTAGTGCAAACAAACGATTATATCCAAAAGCGGTGACAATGGCAGTTACATCGAATTTCTGATCGTTGGAGGGAAACCATGCTATATCTCAGAGAGAAATCCATCAATGAATACGCGTATCTGTATATTCGACTTCCTCATTCCCCACAAATTTACGGATGAGCAAGCCGTTCTGATAGTTCAATATTGCTTTGACCTTCTTCTGGTTTCTTGGAATATCACATCCATCACAATGGATTGGACTATCCGAGTAATGACTCACATTATAGAACTCAGAGCGCAATTGTAACTTCCTCGTTATGAGTACACTTTGAAAATCATGGTATTGTTCAATCAGAGCCGAAGTGGCAGTATGGTTACTGATTGCTGCACGAACATCTTGTATCCAATCATTTTCCTTAAACTCGAGTAACAAATGAACTAAGTCATATTTTTCCAGAATTGGACGGAAGCATTCTTCTTGACTCCATTGTAATGTCAGGTTTGATACAAGTTCACCTTCTGTTTTGTGAATTGCACGAAAGTGTAAAACAGAATAGTATACCGAAATGTGATCTTCCGGGAAAAGGCCATCCAATTCTTTGTTTTGCATTAGCATTAATTTGTAATCGGTCGAATTATGCTCTTCTTTCTCTTCTTCGAGTAATACTGCATCGATTCTTCGATTTCGTTGATCACACTCATCGTCTGAAGAGAAAGAATAACCGGAATAATCATTCTTGTAGAGTTTAATGGAAGTACCATTCATTTCAAAAAAGCATTCTGACTTGCCAGTTGAAAAAGTTAGAGGCAACTGGTAAAGACTCATGAGAAACGTAGTACGATCAACATTACTGGGAACTGAAGATGAAACAGCTTCTGTTGAAAAAGGAATAGGTCTGGAGTTCGTATCGATTGTTTGCTGATTTGAAGGAATTGATACTGAGGACAATCCTTTAGTATCAAAGGAAGATTCTGAGAATAAGAATCCATTCTGGAAATGAAACAAAAGTCTAGAAACGAAATTAAAAACACTATTTGAGGTCGAAAAAGAACGTAGGCTCAAATCTGGATATAGACCATGCTATAATGATAATCCTTGATTGGTAGTTGTAGAAACCACATGATGGCTCTTTAGACAATTCCAAATCTTTCGAATATCGAGTAGACTGAACTTAATAATATTATTATTTATGTGTTATTCTTTTACAGAATATAGCTGTTCACTTGAACCTGGATTTAATGGATTATTTCTTTCTA